AAAAAAAAAAAAAAAAAAAAAAAAAAATTCCAATTTATTAGTCATATTTACGTACGAAAAAAACAACCACTTCATCACAACCATTAAAAAAAAAAAGTGAGTTGCAGCATAGTAACAATATAAAAAGGTTTCAAACAATCTAACAAGTTGGACTTTAGATGATAAATTGAAAGTCTAAACTGAAGATTAAATATCAAATAAAGCACCCAAGACTGTACAAAGTTCCACGTAGAGACGAATACGCACAATGAAACCTGAGATTTTGCTCTTATGAATACCTGATATCACCAAACACACATAAAACATGCAGAGTGACTCCACAATTAATGTAGAACCAAGTCTTTGGATTTGTTTCGCTTTCGCATATATCACACCAATACTGGCCGCTAGTTGCCTCTTCACCGTAACAAAGAGTGATCGCATGATCATCATACCTGTAAAGCCTTACCGTTACTAGTAGAGTGGCGCAATGAAATCCAATTAATATTTGCACTGAATACAGCCAAGTACGACGTCATTAGGTATAGGCTGTGTTGCAACCCTGGCATACCTTTATCTCACCATAATAATATTTTCCGGTAGAGTATAGGATGCGGATGACTTCCATTGACAAAAGGCATAGTAATCAAACTGCATAGTAATTCATACGTCGTACGTCCACTAGTGTACATGAATCCTTGACAGCAACGTAGAAAACAAGCACAATATGTTTCTCCAAAGTTATCTCTACCGAGGAGAAGACTAAGAAATTTTGTGCTTAGAAATGCCGTTTGCGGTCTATTAGTCCCTTACTTAGACTTTAATCGCTCTATGATTAGTTTATCATCACTTAGTTTTAAGTCAATATCATTTTGGTTAACTAGAGTCATTCGATAATTAGAGAAATATTAAATTTCTTATTCCCTTCATATTGAATACAAGAGTTTCAACACTTCGAAAAATATCACTCCCTTGCGTTCTCTCACACATATTCTTTTAAAAACTAAAATACCCTGAGAACACGTCGCTAGATGATACCTCCTCCTGAACACCTTCCAAACAATACACAGAACAATATAATCCGCTTTCGTTAACAAGAAAAAAGGGAGCCAAGCAGCGACAATGACAGTTGTTGCAAAGTGGTCTTGAAGATGTATTGTTAAGCACCAATTCAATGTCACCTATGGTCTTTCCTCCTGGTTTTGCGTACCTTATGTCACTAACCACACATGAAACATGCAGAGTCACTCCGCAATCATAACATGTGTAGAACCAAGTCTCTGGATTTGTTTCTCTTTCACATATATCACACCAATACTTTCCTCTAGTTTCCTTTTCACCGTGACAAAGAGTGAGTGGATGAACATCATACCTGTGGAGACTTACCGTTACTGGTAAAGTTGCGCATAGAAAATCCAAATAATATTTGCATTGGCTACAACCAAGGTCGAGTTCACCACCCTTTTTGCAACAGTTGCATGCGTCCATGTAACCATAATCATCTCTTTCGAGGTAGAGTAAAGGATGCGGATGACTTCCATGGATAAGAGGCATAGTGATAGAACTGCATAGTAAATCATAGGTATTGTTTCCATCAGTATACATGAATCCATCACAGCAACGTAGACAGCAAGCACAACAAAATCCTCCTCCATTATCTTTATTGAGGATAAGACTAAGAGGTTGTGGGCTTAGAAAGTGCCGCTTCTTCTTTGGGAGATTAGAACAGATTTCATGAAGGATGAAACTGCATTCTGAACAGCTGTAGAATGAGTCAGAGCCAATGGGACGAACACAACCTCCACACAAAATACTTTCCTCTAAAGCAACACCGTCTTTGTTGAGGCTCATGTTATGTTCATGAGCGAAATGAGTTATTGTGTTGTCATCATTCATCTTGAAGGGCTCAATATCTTCAACTTCTTCAGGTATTCCATCAAGCTCTATCCCATCCCACACGCGTTTACTTGTTGCACATCTTGAATGAAGAGTATATTGAAGACATAAGGAACAAGAATAAGCCCCATATGACCAATCAATATTTTTCAAACAAATCTCACATCTCCAATCTCCAGGACCAAGAGGATACTTGTAAGAAACTCGGTGATCATGGCGATTGACATGAATAACACGTGGTAAGTGAGCACATTCTTGATGGAAGAACATGAGATCACATTGAAAACAAACATAAGGAGATCGGTCTCCTTTCTCTCCACAACCATCACAAACGAAAGAGATCAATCTTGGGATGAGTGTGAGTGTATGCTCATGGACCTTCAAATTTGAAAGAGCTAATGGTATGGGAGACTGAATAGCACAAACCATATCCATATTGAACTTACAAATATCACAATGATAAAGTAAATTTTTAGTCTCTTTTCCACATAAATGACATTTCTGATCAGTATAGTCAGGAGCACCTTCAGTGAGAAGCTTGAGAGAGTGTTTGGTATGACAAGAGCAAGTGATCTCTATTGAGTCAAATGCGGAGACACATTTCTCATGAACCATCATCGAACAACGAGGGCAACAGTAACCATATTTGCCAGGGTTACCACAAACTTCACACAGCATATAGTTACCAACATCAAGCATGAGTAGAGGATGATAGTGCCACGGCATATTCAGTTGGGACAAGGCATCAACCATGCAACCTATATCCAAATTGAGATCACAAATGGAACAATGATAAAGAAGACGTTTAGTATTTTCACCGCATAGATGGCATTTCGGATCGGTGTGATCAGGAGCCCCCGTTGTGAGAAGTCTAACAAAGTGACCATCATGAGAAGGATGCTTGGTGGTCTCTAGTATGTCGAACACGTAAATACATTTCGTGTGTACGCTAAAATCGCATTCATGGCAAGAGAAGCCATCTTGAATGGATAGGTCACGAGAGATGCCGTCACGATAGGATCGATCACAAACATCACAAGTTAAACCTCCAACGTATCGACCTTTTACTAAAAGATGCTCATGTCCTATAGAAAGCATGAGATCTTGCCGTTATTAGAAGTGGATAGGATTGCAAAAATGATGGAAATTTTCACTTTTGTTTCGTGTAAAAATGGGATGTATAATTGTTGTTACTCTATATACTAAACAATGTTATCGGTCCCTTTATTATATCTTATCTTTTTTGGACAACGACTTTTTATTATATCGTTGTGGTAGGTATATGCGTTGGTGCTGACTCGACAGATATATAATAATACGACTGGTGTGAAGTGGTTAGCGTTTGTTAATTTACACGCCACCTAGCCACATGAAGAGTTAGTAATTTGCATCTAAAACGTCGATCACTGACATGGATCAATAGGACAATTCCTAATCTATTGGAAAACCACTAAACCACCATGGCTTATATTGAAACAAACCATGTATTCTATTTCTCTTTTGTGGTTATTCATCGCTCTGTACATTCTTATCTTGTTTTAGAGTTGAAGCGTATATGTCTGTCTTGTCTTTGTTTTGTATTTTCTCAAAATGCGAAACACCACAACAGCTGGAAATAACTTTAAAACCACACTAACTTCAAAGTTCAAATGTATACGAATCTGCATATGTAAACTGAAGCAGCATTGTAACAACGTAATTTTCAAACAGTCTAACAAGTTGGAATTCAGAGGATAAATTAAAAGTTGGAAATTAAAAAAGATTAAGCAACAAGACTGTACATAACTCCACGTAGAGACAGATACGCAGAAACAACCTGAGACTTTTGCTCTTATAAATTACCTGATGAGAGGAGTTGATCTCTCTCTACAACAAACTTGTTTAATGGTCGTCTTCTTCTTCATCAGATTCCACTTGAGCTTCTGACTCGTCCCCAATATCCTCCAGAAGCTTATCAACATCAACTCCTAGCTCCATCAGTTTCGCCGTTAGCTTCTCCACTTTGCTCTCCTCTTGCCCCAAACACACTAACAAGTCGTTTAACTCGTCTTCGCTCTCTTTCTGAGCTTCCTTTCTCACTTCCTCCTTGATCGCTTCTATATCAGGAAACTCCATGGGATCTTCTCCTCCTTTCAACGATTTCACCTCCTTCTCGAGATGGTAATTCGCCTGTTCCAGACTGTTGTATGCGTCCGAGAGCCCTTTTAGGTCTGATTCAAGCTTCGCAGCCATGTTCTTGTAATCTGATGCCTCGGACTCCAACTTGGTTTTCTCGGCTTTAACTGTCTCTAAACGTTGAGATGCTTCTTGGAGTTCTCGCCTGATGCTTTCCATCTGAACCTTCTCCATTACTGTACTTGATCTTTGCACTGATCCTTGAGATTCCTCATTCTTCCCAGAGCTGGCTAGGTCTTCTGCCAAAGCAGCGTTCCGAGCAAGAAGATTCTGGGAAAACACAGTTGGCAACGACAATAAGCTCTTTTGGGACACAACTCATGTTAGAGATTGTTTGGTCTCAGTTAGTAACTTAAACCACATATATCACATAAACTTGGAAACCTATTGTATGAATACACTGATTGCTTTCTCACTAGTAACATAGCATATAGTTCATCATAATCATATCTTAGCGAAACATGATACTTCCTCCTAATCTAATCTTAGCAGGAACTCAACGACTCCTATAATCCGTTGTAACAAGATGCAAGACTCAAGATTTTTCATCTATTAACTGCAATCAAACAACTAAATTGCATGGCAAGAAGCATGTACCTGAATTTCTGAGCACTGTTTCTCTATGAAGGCTTTCAAGCGGTTGATATAGGCTTTCTCATTTTCTCCGCTCCTCTGCTCCAAATCCGCCGGTACTACAGCGACCTCACTTTTTGGCCGGCTATACACGTCCACGATTCTCTCTCTAATTTTACCTTCAAGGCTCTTCACTAAGCCTGTGAAACTAGGATCAAACAACGATATGAGCATTGGGTGATCCTCATTCCCCTTATCCATCGCGTTTGCCACGTCCACATCCTCAATCTCAGCTTCACTGGGCGTTGCTGTTCTAGACAACGGCTTATGACCCTGTGGAGGTGCCTCGGAGGAAGAGAAGATGAAGCTGCTCTGCATCTCTTCAAACTTCGAGAAGTATGTTGTGAGCCCCATCTTCTGGCTCACAGCATCAACTACAGCAAAAGCATCTTTACCATTCTCATTTGATTTATTGTAGATGACGCATTCTCCCAGTAGAATAGACGCCAAACCCCTTATGCAAACTGTTGCAGCTGGGTTTGCTACCAGCTCGAGCAGATAAGTTAGGTGGTGGCGTGAATCTAAAAAGCACTGAACTGCAGCTGGACAATCAACAGTCCATGTGACAAGCAGTTTTAGAATGATCTGTTGAATATATGATTTCCCCATTGTGCTTGATTTATCTTTGCTTTTCATGGAAGAAGCAACTGCCAGGTATCTGACAATCCTCTGAAAGAGAGTCTCTGGAGTTCCCATGGAAGGCACATGTGATTCAAGTACTATTTTCAAAGCCTGTTGGGTTTCGGAAACAGTTAGCCAATGCAAGGACAAAAAGTTCTGTGTTCAAAAACTAAATTATAAAACTATGGTGGCATGTCATTACCTTTTCCTTGCACTGAATGTTGTCCTTCAAAATATGAGAAAGAATGCTCGCAGCTCTGCAACATGTCTGTTTCAAATAAATAGAGTAAGTATCGGAAGACACGCACAAAATAATATTCAACAGCGAGGCAGAAAAAGCTTACCTCAAGATCACCATCTGTTTCGCCAGAACAAATGCCTCGTAATAACATACTGACACAAACATAAACTTTCAATAAGTTTCAATAGAATTAGCTCAAAAACGCAATGAGTAAAACAGTGATCTTTTTCAAAACAGAACTGTAAAAGCTGCAGGAGAAAGGAAAAGAAGTTGAAACCTTCCAAATGACAAGTTAACATCATCTTCTAGAGGACCTCGGGTGTTGGGATGTGGTTGAGGTATTAAAGTCGAAGCTAGCATTGTTTGACCCTCCCGATTTTTCTGGAAACGTTAAGAGAATATGATTATGATAATCTGCAAGCTCACATTAGACTGAAATAATAATATTAAACACAAAAGTTCCAAACCTCACAGAAGGTCTTGAAAACATAATCAGCTGCAACAAACTCTTGAATACTAGATGTCTGTAAAATGATCCGGAGAATAGAATTGAGTGCAGGTTCTACTTGCCGGTCTTCACCAAGAACTTTGCTAGCAAGGATATCACGGTTCTTGGGATGTCCATCAACTAGATCTCCAATGCATTTAAATGTCTAGCAGAAAAGTAACACAAAGTAAAAGATCCATTAGAAACTTAAAGCTTTACTGTAACAACAAAAGAAACACCTAAGAGAAAGCTGGACTTCACTGCTAAATTATTGTCAGTTGCACAAATATAAATAAATAAATTGATAGAGAACGGAACTTGAATAATAATAACAAGAAAAGGTGTGAAAGGACAAAAAAAATTGACTAAAGAAGATTTACTTACCATGCACCGAACAGCAACAGGCGCCCATTGGCTTTCAACGCCCAACATCAGTAGGTGGTCAAGCAGTTTTTTCTGTTGATGTATCAAATACGATATAATAAGAAGCATAGTTGATCCGGTTAAAATAAGGAATCACAACATTTGCATATCTTAACAAACCTGAACTAAAACCGTTCTATTTGCCAGCTTGTTTGAATCTTTTCCAGGGTCCGTAGCTGCACCTCCCATTATCAGCATATTGATTGTCTCTAGTGCACTAAGTAGATTAACAGTCTACTGGGAGTTCGTTCATTCAAAAGGACAAAGATTAACAAAGTTGCACGAGCTGATAGAAACAATTATTAATAGGAATCACTCGATAATCTAACCTTTTGCTGGGTGAATTTATATGTAATCCCTCGCAGTTTTAGAACTGAAATGATCGGTTCAAAACCCATGGTCTCCCTTAGTAGTATCTGCACAGTGTCAAATATCAGCCCATGTGCAGATCGAGTAAAGGAATCATAAAACTCAAGAACAGAAATAGTGTTTCGAGACCTGGTTTGATGAACTGCTGCGAAGAAGATTGTTCAACAACTCCAAACAGTCCTGTCAACAAGAACAACATTAGTGTAAATGCTTTGACAAGGGATTTGAACTCACGAATAAGCAGACAATCCTAATGCATTAGAAATACTTGCAAAAAAATTTAGGAAGACAACATGTGAAGTACAAGTGCCAAGAATGTTTAGTCCCTAAATCAAAGAACAAGCTTGATTTTTTTCCTTTCCAAATGCCAAATTCTTAACAGAATAAAAGTGCTATAATATATTTAAAAGAGCTACTGGTCACCTGCACAACCACATCGCCATCTGATCCCCCTTCCTCCTTGATGATGCTAAAGATCTTTTCAAATGCACCCTCAAAGACAACAATTTTTTGGATCTCCTACACGTAGTTATCATAAACGAGAGCTATAAGATTCGATGCCTAATTCAGCTCAAGCTATTAGAAAGAAACAGTTACAAATATAAGCAGGTGGTCTCACCTCTGCCTCACGCGTCAAGTGCGTAAGAAGCAACAAAGCCTCGTTCCGGATTACCTGTAAGGCAAACACCACAATATAAAGTATAGGACATATGATATTCTATTATCCCAAGTTCATCATCTCACAACTTCCTATTGAGGTTAGCTGAAGGATAAATGTACCAGACTCTTACATACAACATTAAATATATACAAGATATAGTTAAATGTTACCTCCCTATCCATTAGCATATCCATGAGCCGAGTTATGCCGCGAGGAGTGGTCAGAATAGCTTCCTGCAACCTGAAGAGACAGACAGTCAGCAAAGGTCTATACAGCATAAAGATAGAGCGATGGCACATATAAAGAATATATGCCTGTTCTGAGAGTTCATAAGAAGAGCTGTCAAAATCTGAAGAGTGTAATAGCGAACATAAAAATCTTCTTCCTCCTGTACCACAAGGACAACAAACCAATTTATATGATGCATCAGGCACGCATTAAAAAATTAACAAAACAGCCATTTATTTTTCGAAAATATGGAGTTAACTCTAACCAGCAAACTCAAAAGAAGAGTGATATTTTCAGCTTCACGGGAGAGTAAA